TTTTGTTGTTGCCCTAGTTCTCAAGGAAAAAAATCAAAACATTTTATTTTTAGGATTCGGGTATAAAATATTTAAAAAGAAAATTAAAATGTGCATCTCCACTCCAACGCAGTTTGCTTAACACTAAATCATTTAGTCTAAATGCAGCCAGAGACTCTGGCCCAGAGTTGACCTCGCTTACAATTCGCACGCATCCGGGGCTCTGGCCAATCAAATTCTATTTGGCGTTCTATCCTTGTTCTTTTCACGCGGGTATTGAACAGCCGTCCTTTCCAGTGCGGTCGGACTTGCATTTGCAAGCACTGTATGTATTAAGATAAAGTGTAATGCATTTAAAAAGTGTGAATTGTTAATGGTTACATAATTAATGTTTTTAATCATAGGTACATATACAGTGTATATTATACACTGCTGAAATAAACTAGCAGAGCGCGTTTTTAAAAGATCCTCATTTTTTTATTGACCGATCAAAAATTTTCTGGTGAGGATTTATTTAATAAACATTCCTTTCCAGCAAATACAACCTAATCAATTCTTTTGTACAAGACTAAATGTAAAAAAGTCACAAAATCAGAGTAGTGATTTCATTATTATAAAAAAAAACAATTGCGCTGAGTTTATCGGATATCAGTAAAGTATGCGGCGTCCATTACCATCGATTACGGATTGGCAACGTCGAGGCATGCTTTAAACAAGATTTCTAAGAAATTCTTGAGGTAGATTACGCCAATCTTCCAGAAGATCCTCTGACAATTGCTGAAGAGTAATAAACGCAACATGGTTCTTTCTTACACGTCTGTCTAACCTGTCACATGCGTGCACGATAGGGTTAAGATCGCGGCTCATAGCCGGCCACTCCATGACCGTAATTACCTGCTGTCGTAGGTTGCGCCGGGTTAACTTTGCAATTGTCTTGTTGTAGCAGGAATTCATCACCAAAATTGTTGGCAAATTGTAAAACATGCTCTTGCAGGATGGTATCTACCTATATCTCTCCATTTAGGCGTTAAGGAACGACTACCAAGTCGGTTTGACCATCTAAGCTTATGCCAGCCCAAACTATTACAGATCCGCCTCCGAATCTGTCCACTTGATTGTCATTATATATAGTTATACATCGTATATAATCGTATATAATCGTATCAAGAATCTCAGAAAATAAATTTCTAAAATATATAGCCTTTTTAGAAGCTTTAGTGATGGCCATGTACTCGGCTTCAGTACTACTTAATGCCACTGTTTTTTGATTATTACACTCCCAAGAAAAGCTCCCCTGACATCTTATCGTTATAATCCATAACTCACTAGTGGATTATAGCTCACGTTCATATTCAAAGTAGTATTCTATTTATTTATTACTATTACAAGCAGAATTCACATTGATATGGAAATTAAAGGAAAACGCCAATGGTTTATTCGAATTTGAAATCATTGTAAAATTCGTTGGTTTATTGGAACTAGACGCTCCCATATCGGTACAGCTGCTGATAGTGCTGGAAGACGCCGACGCATTAGAACCTTGTATTTTGTTATGCACCGATTCTTCTAGGTATCCTTCCGCTACCGTCGAGGACTTCCATCCTCCGTAACGCTTCAAAGTAGTCATGTTAGCCCATGCATTGGCCAAAAGAGTCGCCGAAGACCTTCTCAGGCAGTAACCGGTGTAGAGCGCTGTTTCCTCCAATTTCAAAAACATTGCAATTCTTGAAGGTATCTTTGACAACGTATTTATTCCCACACACTGGCTGGTACACCTCCCATTTTTGTAAAAAAACAAAAAAGCGGCTAGAACTAGTATTCTTTAGTCTCAAAGACATGTATTTTTTACTCAAATTGATCGGGTTGACTGGAAATCCTTCTTCAAGTATGGCGAAACTTCTCAATTTCTTGGTTTTAGTGTCTGGCAAAATATTTCCCTTTGTCTTGAATATTTTCTATTTTCAAATTGACCAATTCATCGCATCTACAAGCACCGCTAATCCCCATTATCGAAGCCACTTTCATCAACAGGTACGCGTCGTCGGGAGCTTCGTTCAAAAACTTCTCTATTTCAGGTCGTTCTAATGACTTGGACTTTTTTGGTTTGTATCCCTGTGATTTGCTTTTCAAAAAGCTCGTTAGTTTGCCATATTTTGAAATGTCGATTTTTTCATGAAGGAATAGTCGAGCGAAGCATCGAGTATTTGGTCTATAGCGAATGTAAAAGAAAATAGAACATTTTCATCGGTACCTTTTATCTTCCGTGAATTCATCCAAGACTCAAAATTTTGAACTCCTTGTCGTAAGCATCTCGGGACTTTTCTGGCAAAATCCGCATCGCTGCTTCTTCCGCTTCCGGAAGGATATCCTCAGGAACGTAATTTTCATCGGTTTCCTCCATTTTCTATACGTTTTTTTTCTTCAAAAAGGCTTCCATTTTCTGCAGGGAAAACTGACAAGAGTCAAAGTTTGCTAACAATGCTAACAATGTATCATGCCCGTGGCAACCAAACAAACAACCTACTTTGACCAAAATGTAAAAAAGTCACTGTAAAGTTATTTTGACATTTATATATAAATGTCAAAATAACTATAAAATAACTATAGGGTACAAAATAACTATAGGGTACTGAGACGCAAGTAGCTTTGATTTGATCAGAAAGCTTATTAATTATTATCTCATAAAAAAACGATTTCTTCCACTTGTTGGATAAAACAATGTATGCCACTCGTGTGTTATGTTTCCTAAGTCACTTGAGAATTTATAAATCTTTCTTGCGTGACTTATTTTCAACATAACACACTAGTACTATAAATAACTATTAAATTAAAACTTTTAGTCACTTGTAAATATATAAGGATTCTTTTAGCACATTTTCAATGTTGGTTCGTATAACAATTATAATTATTAAATTGACTCAAAAAATTAACTGCAAAAGTAATGTCAGGTCTTGTCAATACAGATATATACATAAGACAACCTAAAAGTTGTTGATAAGGTAATTCTTTTACATAAATATTAGAATCTGACTTATCAAAACAAAAATTATTTTCCATAGGTGTATCTACAAATCTCTAAAACCTGATTGACCTAACACAATTTCACTTTTATTTTCATTCATCTCATGCCTAAACACTGTTTAATCTTGCCTAAATCTTTAATCTTAATTTTTTTCCATAAATTTTCTTGTACAAAATTTATTTCTTTCATAGAGTTAGAAAATATGAAAAAATCTTCCACATTTTTAAATTTTAAGCTCATAAGAACAATCTCAACTTCCTTATACCATACTCGTGCAGATTGTTTTAAACCATAGATACCTCTTTTAAAAATGCTTTTGCCACCTGAACCTTTTTATTGTTGTAAATTTTACAACAATCCTGTCCAAAATCAACAGAATTTCCATTCTCCAGCAATTTACTAACCGACAAAAGGTTTGGAGTTACTGAGAATTTCAATTTTACCACACCTGTGTACAAGAAGTTTTGTGTTATTTTCAACAACCATCCCCTTTGATTGGCTTTCTTTAATTTAGCAACCAATCTTGCTTAGACGATAAGTGAATGCTCGGCCGGAATCTAGGTACCATTCATTTTCGTCCGCTTAAGAAAGCACACTAAAAGCACTTTTCATAGAGGCACTTTTTGCCTGATTCTTTTGACTAAAATAACTTGATTTTTGGCTTGCTTGCGGACACTTAGACATATAATGGCTAGCTTGCTTGCATTTGTAGCAAATCACTTTACTTAAGTCCTTTCTTTTAAATGCATTTCCACTTTCTTGATATCGACCATTTTTATTTACATTTTGCTGTGATTGACGTTGAAACTTTTGAAAGTTGCCAATGCCCGCTGTCGAATTTGCGTTCCTGTTACCATCTGGTACCATATCATTCGTTATTATCGAGTCGACGGTAATTTTGATACCGCTATGCTCCAGCGCCATCATCATTGGACCGAAACGTTCAGGCAACCCCGCCAACAACAAACTTTCAACAAGAGTTGTATCTAATTTGAACCATGTCCGACCAAGTTTTTGGGTATTTTCGATTATTTGGTTGATGTATTTTTCCATTGACAAGCAATTTTCTAGCCTCAAGGAAATTAAAGTACGAAGAAGTCCAATTTTTCTCCTAAAACCCTTGTTTTCATATAGATTTATCCCAAACTTCTTTGTCCGTTGTCGCCTCTTTAACGTGAAAATACAAAGAAGTATCTAAGGAAAATACAATTTTCGCTTTGAATCAGTTTGTACTTACTAAGGCCTTCTAATATGAGGAATCCAGCGTTCTTTACTCGACTTCTAACTTTCTGGTTATAATTATATACTCCTGTGGCATTTGTAGCTCTGTAGCAGTGGAAGTGTGCTGACGAAGGAAAGTTGTAACTATAGTTACAACTTTCCTTCGTCAGCACACTTCCTCATCTTGATGCGTTGTTTTTTGTTTTCGACCGTGTCCAGCCCCTCTGGAGTAGCTACCTGTTGTTTGGTACCGATTTCAAAGTCTGCAGATAACAGATGGACTTGTCTGGAGTTGATTTGCTACGTAGTGCAAACTGTCGTCCATCTATAGAACGCATATCTTCAACTAAATCAAAAGCTCTCGCTAGTTTAGTTTCACTCAATGAATACATTTTATACCGTTTTATACAGGAATATTAACTACAAAAACTGACGTTTACTTCTTCCATGGGATACTTAAAGCTATTTTTAAATTTGCTAAATGGTCTGATTTCGTGACATTTTTTACATTTAGTCTTGTACATGAGAATTGAGTATATTTTAAATTAATGTTTTGTTTGCTGTTAAAAGAGAAATGTTTAAATTAATAAATCCCCACAAGAAAAGTTTTGATCGGTCATTCAATAAAATAATGAGGATAATTTATTTGGGCAGTTTATTTGACCAATATTTAAAAATAACGATTTTATTGTGTTAAACGTTTGCGATAAGATAACAACAGTTATTGATTTAAATCAGTTGAAAAAAAAATAGAAAGAATAATTTCTGTATATTTTAGAGAGGACAAAGTCGATGGAGGAAAAAGTTGACCCGAACCGTTCGACGGACGAGATGCGGACGCCCCGTAAAAATTCCGCTGGGGTTCTGGAGGAACGCGACCCCAACGTCGACGATAAACCGTCGATGAGCGTCAAAGAAAAAACGCAAAGATTCAACAGGTTGGCGTCGTACGAGGACGAACACAGCCCGAAACCGGCAAAAACGCCAGAAAAGAAAGGAAAGGTAAGAAAATTGATTTGTCAAATAAAAGACTAATAAACCAGTCCTGGCAAATTTGTATAAGGGGGTTCAAAAATATTTTCACATCCTTTAAATCATTTACTTGTAAATGGGTTTTAAATACGTATATTTATTATAACCTATAATGACATCAAAATATGTATTGTATCACTGAGAACGGCACATAAACCATATTTTTATATAAACTAAACAAAATATCCTATAAATACACACACTTAAAAAGACAAACATCAATCCAATATCCTACAAACGCTATTCTGTCAACTGACAGAAGTGTGGTACACACACAAAAAAAAAATGTACAATAATTGTCAGTATTCTGACACAATTTACCAGGATTTCCGACTCATATAGTGACAAAGTGAATATACGACTTATTTTACTAGGATATTCTAGCAGATCATTTACCAGGATTTCCTACAATATTTACAGTTTTTATTAATAGTATGGCATTGTGTAAAATATATTTACATTACTAATAAAAGCTATTAGATATAACTTTAGAGTTTCTGAAGCATACTTAATATTAATGTTATTTAGTGATATTATTAAACTATAAATAAAATAATTGATTTTGACGAAAACATTCAGTAAATACTCGACATTTTTATTAGTACATTAAAATATATGTTGTTATTATATTCTGCGAAAAGTTAACTTGCAGTAAGGCAATTTTTATTATTTATTTTTTACTATTTCATTAGGGGTTACTATAAAATATTATCAAAATATTTAAAAAATTAATACAGGCTATACCAGGAAAGGGGACAAGGGTAAGTAAAACCAACTAAATTTGAAACAAATATTTATTAAAATATATAGAACCCTAATTTATAAGAATAATTTACAGGGTGTTATAAAAAACACTTTAATAACTCTGGTATATCAACCGGTAAGTCATTTGAAACAACTTTTTTTCTAAAATCAAAAATTAATAAAGCAGCCTGACGTTAAGATAAGACGGTATGTTGCGTGTTTACATGCCGATTTTTTTTTTGAAAATTTATAAAAAGTAAAAATTAAAATTATCAAGTAAAAGCTATTCAAAATGACTTAATTAATATTGTAATTTAAGAATATATTAAGGAAAATTAAATCATTATAAAAAAGTGGTTCCTAATATTTTTCTGCAAGGCTGAATTTATTTATTAAATAGTCATTAGTCTCAAGAATTAAAAATCTATTTTTAATAAACATATATTTATAAAACAAAAACAAAATTAAACTTTATACTAGGCAAGTATTTTAATAAATCGATCATTTTAAAATCCTTAACCACTCAGTCCGCCATTCATAGAAAATTAAAAATAAAAAATAAAGAAAAAAACTGAACTTATGAATACATTTTATAATTTTGTTTGAATAAAATGTTATGGATTTTCGATTTAATAAAAAAAATATTCATAAACGCCCAGACTTTCATGAAAAGTAACAGGTTCAATAATATTGATACCCTGACATTTTCCATTTACCTAGGGCCGATATTTCAATTGTTACCTATTTTCCAAATAAAGCATTTGACGGATAACTTCCATGGTTACCATTGTCTTGACAATAGTATCTAAGGAAATCATCCGGCAAATAGTTTATTTGGAACATACTCTTTTAAAATGAATTAATCAAAAATGACTAATTGTCATGGCGAAAAAGCAGCCACTAATAGGTAACTGTTGTCCAAAGCAATTTGTTTCCCAGATATTTAATAGACAATTCATATGTAAAATTGTCCGCTGAATCAGAAAATACCGTGCAAAGATATGAAAGTAGAGAAGTTTTTGAGATATACAGTCAATTTATAATTATTTTTGGTAAGTAATCTCTAAAAGGCTTGTTTAAAAACTTAATGCTCTGCGAGGACTCCTCGCATATCAAAATATATAGGTACCTTGTGGCTATATAGAAGGCTACAAATACTTTTTGCCCCCTTTCCCTTTATTTTACTGAAGAGTAATATGTCGCAGCAATAAAAACATTGCAATTATTTTTCACAACCGCAGCTATTTTTTAAATTTATTTATTCCTTAGGAGTTTACCTACCAAAAATAATTAATTACATTCTTTCTGAGGCTTATGTGGCTTTTTGTTTTAAAACAACTTATATAACTAACATTATGCATTTTTAATAAATGCCTGCAGCCATGGCGTTTTTAGTGCCAAGCTCTTCAAATAATGCTTACTTAATAACTAACTAATTGATATGATAATGTTAATTAATTAATAGGTAATTATACACCTCTCTTCTAAGATGGGAAATAAATTTGGTAAATTCCACGAGTCCACGATTTCTTTAACTTTGTATGCTATTATTTTTCCCGAAATTTTTCCTTTCAAATTTAAATATTAACCTTTAAGCATCCATTTAAACATCATCAAAATTATGAAATAAATTAATAAATAGAATTTAGTTATTTAGTTATTTGGAATTTTCTTCTTTCTCTTCTCAAATCAATTTCTGCTCTCAGTGGGTTTATATAAATATTATGTCTATCGATGATAAAAAATCTGATTGTGTATTTACAACGGCCTTAAAATGAGTATGACTGTTCACATTCCATGGAGATGGGCCATTAGTCATATTATTGGGACGTTATCGGTCTCCATAGGTGTGCGCTTACGTTTACAGATGATTACACGCCAAAATTCTTGTTATCTATTGTATTTTTAATCATTAAACAAATATTTTTCAAGCGGATGACTTTTAAACTTTTTTATACAAGGCGTTTTAAGGTACTGTGTGGTATTTTTGTGAATTTAAACACGAGTACTGTTCGTAGTTCGTAATTTATTTACAAAGGAAATAATAAGGTAACTTACAACAGCGGTGACGCTAGCTGTCACGACCAGAGAGAATCGTTAAAAAGGTGGAGTGTCTAGTTTTGGATTCTCGTTTCAACTCATTTTGGCTAAAAAACAGCGATTTTATAGCTCAAGTACGGATATTTGTCACGTCACGTGCTAAGACGTCTGTCTGCGTTCAGGGCCTAGGTCTGTTCTTTGCGAAAGGCTGGGATTTTAGAAAGTAATTTGGATAAGAATTCTACAAAGGATAAGGTGCGGTCTATTGTGTTGTAAAGGTTGGCTGTAGAAAATTGTATTAAGGGTAGGATTAAATCTAGGCCTCGCCAGTCCAGCGTACATTTTGTCACAATTATGTTTGTGTGTCTTAGTAGTGGTAATACTGCTGCTACAGTATTTGACGAAGGAATTAATTGGGTTAACCTTGTTACTGGACCTCCACTACTGTCACACAGATCTTTGTCCTGGAAGTCACTGTGGGCCGTGTTGTCCAGCATAGCATAGGGCGCGTACAACGAATCTAGCTATGTCAGCGAGTTATTGCCCTAGGCCGGAAGCTTCGGTTTCTGTCATGTTGCGTGTGTTGGTACGGAGTACCCAAAATGTACAGCGGCCCGAGAGAGTTGCCAAAAAGGTGTCTCGTTTTGGGTTCTTGTAGTAACTCATTTTGGCTAGGAAAAGGAAAGGATTTTATAGCTCAGGTACGGGTAGTTGTGGCGTCACGTGCTATGTCGGTCTATGTTCGGGGCCTAGGTCTGGACTTTCTGATTGGTCGATTTTGGAGAGTAATTTGGATGGTAATTATACAAAGGATAAGGAGCGGTATATTGTGTTCTAAGGGTTGGCTGTAGAAAATTGTATTAAGGGTAGGATTAAATTTGGGCCTCGTCCAGCATACATATAATAAAGATGTTTTATAATATTGCTTGTGTTTATGATGTTTGTGTGCCTGAGTAATGGTGATACTGCCTCCGCTAAGCGTCGGCCTTTAAACTTTGAAACAAAAAAAACCACAAAAAACACTTCTTGGCCTAATGACTAATATGTCAGATTGTATTATTATTTTATTCATAGGTATACCTACTAATCAAGTGTTGATTATATTAATGGAGTACCAATTTGACTTTTCTTATAGATTGATTGGATGAACCTTACAATGTTGTTCACCTTTATTTTTAAGATATTCAATTAACCTATAATGATGTTAAGATCGAATTGATAAATTAAACAATTTTTATTAGATCTTATCTCCTGACTATGTCAAAACATTGTTCCAATCGACTATTGGTGCCCGTGTATTGAATATTTGACACGCCAAACGAAATACCATCGAAAAACGATTTGTTATTCGTTTGGCAGGCCAGCCAACTAAACAATAACAATTACACGCAGCTATTAGACGCTTCAGCGTTTATCGCGCCAATACATCTCGTCCAATAAATTTTCATTAATCGCATTGTTACCATTCACTTTTGACACAGAAAGATTTTCGATTTCAAATGTGTAGTTTTTCCTCCAATGTAATCGTCACGAAATTGAAGATAGATGGAGCTGGCGTCGCACGACACGTTCTAACGCCTCTCGTGTGACGGACGAGGATTGCAAGTCATTTGACAGCTAGTTAATTGACAAAGGCAAACATAACACAATCTGTATGATAAAAATATAAAATAAATAGTGTGTAGAAACTTATGAATAATTGGCATTAGTTAAATAGATGCCAACCAGTCCAGTTTTATTAGTCCTTTTTTCTTGATTGTAAATTAAAATGTTTTGGGAACTTCTAAGGTTATAAAAAATAATTTGATTAAAATTTACAGAAATATTTATTAAAATTAAAATTTCACGTTTACGTGAATTTAATAATTGCCAATTATTTTTATCCTTTTGCTAAAAAACTAATTAAATATGTATAAAAATACGGTATTTAACTTAATTGCCAAAATAAAAGACCTAATTAAAATTACCTTTTAATTGTGCATTTTTAATAATAGGTTTTTTTACTTTTAAAAGGAAAGTAGGTAGTTTTTTAAATTAAAAATATATTTGGGTATACCCATGATATCCTTTAAATGTATAACATTTTTATATGTTACTGTTGCAGATATATGCAAACAGTAATGGAATAATTATTTTATAGGTTTTTTATCGAGGTGTTATCTTTACTCGGCAATTCCATTATTAAA